TGATGAGAACCTCTAGTGTAAAGTTAAATAGACATGGAAAGAGTGGAGAGGTTTGTCTTGTTCCTGATGTTAGAGGAAAACATGCAGTCTTTTCAGCATTAGTTATAATGTTAGTTGTGGGTTTGCATTGAATCTATAGATTGCTTTGGGTAGTATGGACATTTTAATGACCTTAATTCTACCAATCCATGAACACAGTATATTCTTCCATTTGTTTATGTTTTCCTCTATCTCTTTTTTCAATGCCGTATAGTTTTTCGAGTACAGGCCTTTTATCTCCTTAGTTAAGTTTATTCCTAGGTATCTTAATTTTTTTGGTGCAGTGATAAATGGGATTGTTTTTTTAGTTTCTCTTTCTGTGCGTTCATTATTGGTGTATTAAAAAGCCATAGATATCTGGGTGTTAATCTGGTATCCTGCTCCATTGCTGAATTCATTTATTAAGTCTGATAGTTCTTTTTTAAAAATATATTTTTATTGATTTCAGAGAGAAAGGGAGAGGGAGAGAGAGAGAAACATCAATGATGAGAGAAGATCAGTGATCAGCTGCCTCCTGAATGCCCCCTACTAGGGGACAAGTCCACAACCCAGGCATGTGCCTTTGACCAGAATCGAACCCAAGACTCTTCAGTCTGCAGGCCAATGCTCTATCCACAGAGCTAAACCAGCTAGGGCAAGTCTAGTAGGTTTTTGATGGAGTCCTTGGGTTTTCTATGTACAATATCATGTCATCTGCGAATAATGACATTTTTACTTCTTATCCAATTTGGATGCCTTTTATTACTTCTTCTTGTCTGATTGCTATGGCTAGTACTTCCAGTACTAGGTTGAACAGGAGTGGTGAGAGTGGGCATCCCTGTCTTGTTCCTGTTCTTAGAGGAAATGATTTTAGTTTTTGCCCATTGAGTATGATGTTGGCTGTAGGTTTGTTAATATATGGCCTTATCATGTTACGATATGCTCCCTCTATTCCCACTTTGCTGAGAGTTTTTATTAAAAATGGGTGTTGTATTTTGTCGAATGCTTTTTTGTGTCTATTGATATGATCATGAGATTTTTGTCTTTCAATCTGTTTATGTGAGGTTTCATGTTTATTGATTTGTGAATATTGTACCAGCCTTGCATCTCTGGAATAATCCCACTTGATCATGATGTATGATCTTTTTAATATATTGCTAGCCTATTGGAGCATGTCCATGCAGCATCCACTTACTCTGCCGCCATTTTTAATCCTCTAGACCAGTGGTCAGCAAACTCATTAGTCAACAGAGCCAAATATCAACAGTACAACGATTGAAATTTCTTTTGAGTGTCAAATTTTTTAAACTTAAACTATATAGGTAGGTACATTGTTATTAACTTAATTAGGGTCCTCCTAAGGCTTAGGAAGAGCCACACTCTAGGGGCCAAAGAGCCGCATGTGGCTCGCGAGCCGCAGTTTGCCAACCACGGCTCTAGACTATTTCTCTTTTATAGAATAGTTTTAGTTTTTCAGCAATATTGGCACCCTCTCCCACCTTCCCTCCGAGGTTCTGCAATCTGTTCAGTGTTTCTATGTCTCTGGAACTTTTTGGAGAGTTCTTATATAAATCTGCCCCTACATACACAGCCACCCCCATTATCAACATCTGACAAGAGAGTAGTAAATTTGTTGGAATCAGTGAACCTACATTGACACATTATAATCACCCAAAGTCCATAGGTTACATTATGGCTCACTTTTGGTGCTTTACATTCTATGGTTTTTTGAAATACAAAATGACATGTAGCCACCATTATAGTGTCTGCTTTGCATATGTATCCTTACCTGGCAATCACAGATCTTTTTACTATCTTCATATTTTTGTCTTTTTAAGAATTTCATATTGTTGGGATCACATAGTATACTAGAGACCTGGTATACAAAATTCATGCATGGGGGGTCCCTCAGCAAGGCCTGCATCCTCTCCAATACGGGACACCTTGGGGGACATCTGTCTCGCAGTCCAGGACTGCTAGCTCCTAACGGCTCACCTGCCCGCCTGCCTGATTGCTCCCTAACTGCTCCCCAATGCTGGCCTGATCGCCCCCTACTGCTCCCCGCTGCTGGCCCAATTGCTCCTAACTGCCCTCCCCTGCTGCCCAATCACCCCTAACTGCTCCCCCCTGCTGGCCTAATCGCCCTTAACTGCCCTCCCCTTAGGCCTGATTGCCCCTAACAGCCCTCTCCTGCTGGCCTGATTGACCCTAACCGCCTCTGCCTTGGCCTCCACCACCATGACTTTGTCTGGAAGGACATCCAGAAGATGTCCATCTAATTAGCATATTACCCTTTTATTAGTTTAGATAGCTTTTCAGAATGTCCTTTTTTCAACTAGTAATATGCAGTTAAGTTTTGTCCATTCTTTTTATAGCTTTAGGGCTCATTTTTTCACATACTAAATAATATTTCATTGTATACATATATCATGCTTTATTTATTTGCTCACCTACTGAAGGACAACTTGGTTGCTTTCCAGTTTGGGCAATTACAAATAAAACTGACATAAACACTGTTGTGCAGATTTTTTTGTGGACATCGGTTTTCAACTCATTTGAGTAAATTCCAAGGAGCACGATTGCTGGATCATCTGGTAAGGGTGTGTTTAGTTCACTAGGATTCTGCAAAGTGGCCATATTATTTTGCATTCCCACTAGCAATGTCTGAGGGTTTCTTTTTCTCCACAACCTTGTCAGCATTTGGTGGTGTCAGTGTTCTAGGTTTGGCAGTTCTAATGGGTGAGTAGTTGTAGCCCTTATTTCTAAAATCTGGGCATTGACAATATACATTTCCCTGTAAGCACTGATTTAGTTGCATCAAATACGTTTTGTTTTTGTTTTCATTCATCTCAAAGCATTTTAAATTTCCCTTGTGATTTCTTCTTTGACCCATTGTTTTTTAGGAGTGTGTTGTTTCATTTCGATGTATGTGTAAATTTCCTAAATTTCCCTTTGTTATTGAGATCCAATTTCATTTAATTATGTTCAGATAATATAATTTGCATGGTTTCAATTCTCTTAAATTTGTTGAGATTTGCTTTATGGGGCATCTTATTTTTGCACAGGAGTTAATTTGATACCTGCTTGACATCTCCCATTGGCTATCTCAAAAAAACTTGAAGATTTTGCACAAAATCACACCCTTGACATTCCACCTTCCATTCACTCCTCTTCCAGTATTTCCATCTCAGTGAAGGTGCCACTATCCCATGCATATCTCTGGCCTGAACCTAAGATTATCTTCTATATTGCCATCTCCCTTTCTCCATAATTCAAATCTATTGGATTTTACTTTCTTTTTAGATCTCTTAAATCCATTCACTTTTTTCCATTTTGATGGCCGACACCATAGTCCAAGATACAACTATTTCTTGCAGAAACTATGGTAACTTTCCTTAGTGCAACCTCTGACAATTTTTAAAAAATATATTTTATTGTTTTTTTACAGAGAGGAAGGGAGAGGGATAGAGAGTTAGAAACATCGATGAGAGAGAAACATCAATCAGCTGCCTCCTGCACACCCCCTACTGGGGATGTGCCTGCAACCAGGGTACATGCCCTTGACTGGAATCGAACCCGGGACCCTTCAGTCCGTAAGCAGATGCTCTGTCCACTGAGCCAAACCAGTCAGGATGACAATTTTTATTGGAAAACTGAAACTTTCCTATGAACTGGTTTCCCAATCTCTACGGTTGCTCTCCTCCATTCCCAGTTTTATATGGCAGTCTGTTTCTACTTTGTAAATGTACTGATTTTATCAACCTTTTAGTTATAATCACATTGCATTAGAAAAAACAACCCCAATCTCCAACAAGGCCTTGTATAGACAGTCTTACTTCATGACCTCTGAAGCCGACTGTGGCTCCTTTGCTCTCCATCCTCCAGCCTCACTTCTCTGCTTTCAATCCCATGACAGCCCATCCTCCCTCCTGCCACAGGGCCTTTGACCTTTCTGCCCTCCTGCTTCACTTAGGTAAACCCTCTGTAGTCTTCCCATGTCCTTCAATATTCACTTTATTAAAGTCGTTTTCCACTGGAGGCCCTTGTCTGGGCCTGTAATAACACATTTGTTTGTGTGGTTAATGTCAATCACTTGCAAGTTCTCTGGAAATAGAATCCTGTCTGTGTTTGCTAATTGCAATAGCCATGGTCAGAGAGGGGCTTAATGAATATTTGTTGGATACAAGAATTTTTCAGGTTGATCACTTAGTAAGTTTTATAATGTCTAATCACTGAGATGTGAAAGGACAGAACGGGACTGATAGCTGTGTCCCTAACTCCTTTTCCAAGAAAAAGCCGCAGAATATATCAGTTACTCAGCCTGTCCTTATCTCAGCCAATGGGAAAGTAAGGGAAACTAGCCCAAGGCCAAAAGTATGCTAGCCACCCCCTGTCTTTGTGTAACCAGACCCCTAGCTGCACCCTGCCCTTGTGTCACTAGCCCCCGGCCCTCACTCAACCAACCGGAATCGGCCAAATCAGTAGTCCGAGTGGGCCCTCACCCCCTGACCCCAAGCCCTATAAAGTCTTTGTTCTTTCAAGAATCGGGGCTCTCTGGAATCCTGCCGTTGCACCGGCAATGGAGGCAGAGGGACCAAGCCCGGGCTTGAATAAAGGCTCTTTGCTTTTGCATTGGACTCGGCTCCCTAGTGGTCTGTCTTTGGGGGTCTTGAAATCTGGGCATAACAAGATGTACACCTGAAACTAATATAATATTGTATGTCAACTGTAATTGAAAAATAAAAAATGTTAAAAACCTAAACAAAAACAAAGACCATGCACCCATACTAGACACAACTTCTACCTTGGATCTCCTGTCCATCCCTGTTTAAGATCAGAACCCAGGCCAGACTCACCTCAAGGTCTCCAGGTGGCAGTGAGGGCTTTTCAGGGCGTCACAAAGACTCTGTACTGCAGAGCAGCTCAGAGAGTTCCCACTCAGGTCCAGCTCCTGCAGGCGTCCAGGGACTTTGAGAATAGAGAAGAACATCTTCCACCAGGAATCTGTAAATGGGCCCCAGCTGTACCTGAGGGAGAGAAAGGGACAGGGGAGATGTGACCGGTGTGTGTGGGGTCTTATGTGCACACTGTGCTCAACACCATGGGGTTTGGCCCCTCTGAGTGCCAGGCTGCCATGGGCAGGGCTATTGCCAGGGGTGATCAGTCTCTGGAACTGCCCCTCTGTTCCCACCACCCTGGGCTAATTGCCCCCGTTCCGTGTGGTTTCTCACAGTGCAGCCCTTGCCATTCTACACTGCAGTGCTCATTTAGTGTGTCTGTTTCTGCCTCAGTCTGGGAATTTCTTGTGGGCTGGGGCAGATGTTCATATTTTTTTTAATCTTTAGTGTCCAGCATAGGGCCTGGCAAAGAGCTTGGGAATGCAGACAGTCTTCCTCTCATCAATACAGACATGCCTTTCTTCCTTTGGCACAGATTTTGTAAAGTCCCAGTTTCCAGAAAGGAAAGGAAGAGATGGGAGGTGGGAAGAGAACCTGGGCGAGGTGGTTTAAGGTAGTTTTGTGATGGAATTTTTGTATATTACTACATACTATACTGTTGTACAGATTGGCTTGCATGGGACCACATCCCCTTCCCAGGACAGCAAGACCATAGGGAGGTTCCCCAGGAGAGAGATGGCAAAAGGGAACGTTCTATGAGAGAACATTTGCAGGATGTGGGAGAGGAGGATGGGCTTTGTTTGAAAGTTATAGGCTAGACTGCCTTGTATAATTTCCACCAATTTAAATTCTACATGTCACACACTATTTAAGTGATTTCATTTACTCCCAAATAAAATAGAAAAAATAGATTTTATCTATTTCAAGATGCAAACTGCCATCTCTATTTTATTGCCAGATAAATCCACCTCGATAGCCCAGTAGCACCTTGACCCAATATGTCCCCAACTCCATTCATCTTTCCCTTCAGGTCTGCAGACATTGAATTAACTGGTAAGTGGCTAGAGTCTATTATCCCTTTCTTTTTGGGCTGTCCTGCATATTTGTCGGGGATAATTGGGGCCAGGCTCTGGGCTGTGACTGCACAGCCACTCCCCAGGTGACATCCAGTGCTGGTCAGGACACACTCCCCAGGAACCAGGTTTCCTGGTCCACCTGTCTGTGGGGATGCCTACTGGTCAGGTGTGATCGCCCAAATGTTTCTGACGCTCAGGAGGAAGGGGACGCCTTTCTCTAACTTAGTGTCCACGGGAGATTAGACTCAAGGCCCACTTATGGGGAGCACACAGTCGGCCATTCCCTGCACCACACCCCTGGGATGTCTTCTTAAGAATCTACAGGCCCTAGGGTTCACTCAGGACTTATGTCCCAAGTGCCTCATTTGCTATTGCAATACCGCTGGGCCGCAATACAAATTAGACAATGGGCCTGAGAATGGTACTTTTGATTTCCCAATTCTCATTGATCTTGACAACTTCTGCTGCCGGCAGGGCAGATGGTCTGAGGTCCCGTATGTCCAGGCTTTTTTACACTCAAGGACACATCCTTTTCTCTGTAACAGCTGCTCTCCCTCACAGATTTTCCTTCCTCATGCTAAGCACCCCAGCCCCCCCCCATCTCAAATCCTCCTATCCTCCTCCTCCTCCTCCACCATTTTGATCCCACTGACCATTCCCCAGTCCCCCGGTCTATGGCTCCTCAGTCTCAGCAGCCTGAGAGTCCGCCACCCTCCCCAGCGGATCCCACCGCCACCATCCTGTCTCATACCTGCTCCAGAGCAAGTTTTTGGCTCTCTTCCTCTCCTTCCTCTGGCACTAGCCTTAAGTGCCCACTTCGGGAGATTGCTGGCGCCAAATCTGGCTTCATGCTGAGGGCCACGTGAATACCCTGTGCTGGGAGGCCTCTGCCCTCCCAGTCAGAGCAGATGCTGTCCCTAACAGGGACCCACAATGGAACTATCAGGAAGGGCAGACAGGTCACAGGTCTCGAGACCACATGGTTCTCTGCCTGCTAGAAGAACTGAGAAAGGCAGCCCACAAAGCAGTTAATTATAAAAAATTAGCAGAGGTCACCCAGGAAAGACATGAAAATCCGGCAGACTTCCCCTCTCGCCTTACACAGGCCATGAAAAAATATACCAACCTTGACCCTATAGGCCTAGAAGGAACTAAACCCTGAAAGAGACCTTTTATACATGACCTTTAAGGTTTTTAATAATAGAGACAAGGAGACCCAAATCCAAAAACAAAGATGAGATCAGGCCAAGGCTGAGGCCCAGACGAAGGCCTTTCAGCTCCTAGCCACCACTCTCATAAACCCCAAATAAAGTGCCGGTCCTCCAACCAAGGGTAAGTCAGGGGCTAAGCCTCCTCCGGGCCCATGCTTC